ATCCCTCCACACACACACACACCCCGCCAAGAAGCTGAGAACTTGCCAGCTTCTGGAGAGGTCTGAAATGCTGTTTAATGGGGGGATTAGTGTGGCCAAACACAGCTCCCCCACCCACCCCCCTGAGCATCAAAGCGAGCCCCGATTGCATTGTGTGCTGGACTTTGCTGGTTCTTCCCGATCCGGCTGGGGCTTGTTTGACTGAGATCACCAGCAGCGAGGCCCAGCCTGGCCCTCATCCAGGAGTGGGGGGGTTGTCTGCTGCTGGTTTGGGGCTTTATCTCTATGGAAAATTGAATTAAGCTGATGTTCTTCCTTGGTTTTTGTTTTTTTTTTTTTTTTTAAAAATCCCCCTTTTTGCTTCTGCTCTCCTTGTCAAATTTGGGAGCCTGAGAGGGGGGTGATGCCCAGTGGAGCCTGGCACAGAGGAGGGGGCTTTTCCCACCCCCGGGGGTGGGGAGTCCAGGGACTCTGAGCTGTGTTGGGGGATTTAGACTGGGATGAACATGGTGTATTTTTAGCACATGCTTTTTCCCCACCTCATGTGATGCTGGCTTGGGCAAACGAGGGGAAAATGGAAATGTTTGCCAGAGATGGGTGAAACCACTCCTGGATGTTGGAAGTTGAGGCTGGCAGTGGTTAGGAGGTATAGCCTCCTCTGCCCCGGGGATTAACACCCTTATCTCCACTTACTTCCCAAAAAGCAAGTGACCCTTCACCCCTGGAGCAGAAAAAGCCTAATTTAGGAGTAGCTTAGTGCTCTAATGAAAGGTTTTTACAGGGAGGCAGTGTTGGTGCAGTGTCTGGTGCATCTCTGACTGCATCCTACACCAGGCTGGCACAGTCACCGGTCAATGTATGTCCCTCTGAGAGCCCAATCTTTTGAGTATAACCGAGTGTCAGTAGGTTATGGGAGGGGTCGTGACGTATTGTCCCTGTCTGGGTGCTCTTTATGTGGGTTGACATGCATGGGTGGTGCAGGAGCATGGGGCGGTCTGAACAGTTGGACTCGATCTTAAGGGACTTTTTGAACCTAAATGATTCTATGAAATAGCATTCTCAAAAATGCCTCCCTCAGAGCCCTCTGAGAAGCCCCCGGGGAGGATGCCCTGATGGGTAAGGAGATGCTCCCCACCAGGACAATAATTGCCATGCTCATCTGGGGGAGTGCTGCTGGTGTAAGGCCAAGGGAAACCAGCCCAGTTTCACTCTGGGATGCTACAGTGCAAACGAGTGGATGTAGGAGGCCTGTGAGGAGTGGGCTGTGACCACCCTATGGCAGCAAGTTCTTTATGTGGTGCCCATGGCTGGCTTCATCCTGCACCCTTGCTCCAAAGCCCATTCAGCAAGAGCGGTATTTGTCCCTTTTTGCACAAGCAGCCCCAAATGGGACTTGGTTTGCTTTGTGCCCTGGTGGCACTCCAGATGCCTTGTCCTCAGATTGGTGGTCATGGCCTCAAGGCCACACTGGAGTGGCCAAGAGAACACTGCAGAGAAGCAGAGGAACCACGTCACCTCTTGGGATGTCTTTGCAGCTCATTGTTGGCACTCTCTGCACCTTGCAGGACTTGTCATTCTCCATATTTCTGAATATCTGCTGTTTCTGCCTTCTCCCCATTGCTGTTGCTGGAGGATGGGCAGAGGTTTGCCCCCTGGGTGCACCACCCAGCTGTGCATGGTGCTGGGACACCGGCTGCCAGTCGGGGCAAAACCAGGGGAAGCCAGCAAGGGGACAGCCATGGCCTCTGCAGCCCCTTGCCCCAGCCCTGCAGCTCCTCCTGGGCTCTCCATGGGCACTGGGACTCTGTGGCCACATCCTGCCCTGGTGCTGTGCTCCCATGGAGGGGCGAGGGGCCATCTCAGCCTGCTCGAGCAGGACTCAGAGCTCGGCAGGGCACTGAGTGCTTGTGGACACCCAGGGAGGTAAAGGTGCAGGTTTTCTCTCAGTCCCCAAACCAGTCTCCCAGCACCCCAGGGACGCTGCAGGGGTCCCTAACAGCTGGGACACCACTGTCGCCAATGTTGGGGTGCTTGCAGCAGATACCCTGTCCCTGTGACACCCTGCAGGAGGGGCATTTGCCGTGGGTGAGGATGCTCATGCTGCAGCATCCTACTCCTCTCCAGGCTTTGGTCCCTGCTCCCCTTCCTTTGGGACAGGGAGAGGGATTGAAGCCACCAGTGAGATAGGCAACCAACCCTCACTGGTCACCCAGTTGCATCATGATGTTTGTGTGTATTTATTAATTTTTTTTTTTCCTGAAGAAACAGGGAGAGAGAAAAATATCTCTCTGTCCAAAATCACTCATCCTTCCTAATAATGAGAGCTGTCACCAGCTCTGCTTGGCGAGGAAATGATGCTCGCGGTAAATATTTGGTCTGGAACTGATTTATGGGTGGAAAAAAATGAGATTAGTGGCTAATCACTGCGTTGCAGGAAGCACTTTGGGCTGAGTGCCGGGGCTGAGCTAGCAGGGAGTTGGGGCCATGCCCGCGCCAGGGGCTTCGGTGGAGATGCTGTGGTTTTGCCGCTGCATTGGGTTGGGATCAAACAGCAACAACAGAGGGCTTGGACCTGCTCTGGGGGACACCAGGCTTCTCACCTTGGTGCTTTGCAGATATGCTTTAAGGACTGGGATTTAGGTCAGGGGTAGCTTAGATCCCCTGGCAGGGTGCGGCATGGCAAACATCGGCCATGGGGCTGTTGGCGCATCGGAGCCCCGTGGCCTCCAAGCCAGGAGGGTTGTTCTGTTGGACCTGGCTAGACGCAATCATCTGCCCCATCTCCAAACCCAGTGCACCCAAAGAAGTCATTACAGTCGCTCTAAAGGCAGCAGCAGCTTTTCCTGTGCGAGGAAACAATTAGCTTATTAGACAGCGGTTTAATTTTCTTCTGCTAAAGCGGGCTGGTGAGCGCAGCACGGTCATTTCCTACCGACTGGCAGGGCCAGATGCCCCTGGGCGTTGCTGGGTCCGGGTGGTGGGAGATAGCTTACCTGCGGACTGGAGCGAGTGTCAGAGCTTGGCTGCATCTCTGCTCAATGGTACTGGAGCGATGGCAGCCAAGCAGGACGCGGTGCCTGTGAATAGGTGTATAGGTGTGTGCAATAAAGCAGCTGTTGGGCACAAAGAGGAAAGTTTTGAGGGAGAACAGCACCTGGTTTTATACTCTCCTGATTTCCATTACAACAGGGCTCACTGTGTCACACGGTGCTGCCAGGCATTGCACAGCTCTGGTTTGGTTTTGGGGCCAGATGCTCTGAGTTTCCCTCCTGGGCTGTGGCAGGACAGGCTCAGCTGCTGCTGTCACATAGATGCTGCTATTTGCTCGCCTCCCTCTCTGCTCCCACGTTGGTTTTTCACCTAATTCTAACAATATAACCAAGAACTGAACGCAGCGGGTTGAATTAAAGTCTGTAATTCAGTTGTGCATCAATGCTAACTGTGTCACCTGCAAGAAAACTGTCTCCAGCCGTTCATGAGCTCCATTGCTGGGAGGGCTGGAGGGTCCTTGATGACCATGAGCTGTCGCACTGCCTGCTCCACATTCATAAGGGTATCTCTGCCCCAAATCCTCCAAATCTCCAAAAGGGCAGAGCTGCCTTTCCCAGAGGCTGCTTTGGGACAGGGCAGACGATGCTCCTCTCTACCTTGCACTATTGTGGTGTGGCTGGAGTGGGAGCGGCTGAGCCAGTAAGGCTTAGTTAGCAGTGCCAGAAACCTGCAGCCCAGCCCCTGAGAGCTGCCGGTGTCAGTCTGTGCTGCAAGTCTCTCAGATCTGTGTGCTGCTTTGAGCCCACCTGAGCCACCGAAGTGAGGGCTGGTCCTTGTCACAGTGCAGTGCAGGCAGAAAAATGTACTGATAAGTGAGAGGTGGATGTCTTGTACCCCCCTAATCTGCAGCATTCTGCTTCTGATGAACATTTCCCAGTGCTTAGAGTTGTCTGCACCACAGTCCGGTGCCTCAGTGGGTTGTTCCCTGGATTTCTTTTGGGGCTGCTCACAGCGTTTGCCTTGGGTGACACGCTCCACTGCAGTCCACCCTTCAGTTGTACTCAGTTCCTCTGCTTGGCCCCTAAAATGGATGTAGGTGACATTAAATGACAAAATTGGAGCAGGTGCTGAGTGCTGCAGGGTGACGGTTATCTGGGTGCCAGTGCCTCACTCCCAGTGGGAAAGAGCTGGGACCAGCGCTGCCGTGATGCACAGACAGTAGCATCTGTCAAGTTTAACAGTTTCTCTCCAGTTTAGCAGCACTGTGAGTGCCTAAGTCCATTTTAGGTGCTGTAGCAAGCAGTTTGAATCTGCTCCATAGTTCCTCCATGCCTCAGTTTCCCCCATTTGAGGTGGGGCTGGTAGTAATGGATGGTGTTTAAGGATACAGATGAGCTCGGTGTGATGACTGCCTTGGAGAGCAAGCCCTACCCCATGCTGACAGACTGAGCTAAGAAGGGCAGAGCAGCACATCCAGCCTTCCCGGCCCCAAATGGGACAATGCAGTTACCTGGGGTCTTGTGAGAAGATGCTCAAGGACTCAGACATTACAGCAAGCACACCTTCTAACCATCAGCAAGGTCCACGCAGGCGGGTTTGTGTGGGAAATCCCCTGGTTTGGGGCACTGAGGGGTGATGTGGAAGGCTGGTGGGCTGGTTGGGGGTGCAGGAAGGCCAGCAAGGCTGGGGGTGATGGGGCTTTTGGACCAACCAATTCTTTTCAGCTGGGTTTTGCAAGAGGAATTGCTCTTGAATGCAATGTGTTCCTTAATGAAAATTGCCTATTATTAATGATGGTGAGGGATTCAAAGTTCTTGCAGGGAAATGGGTTTAATTATCACATCAGCTCACAGGGTGGCACAGCACCTCCCCACATGAGCAGCCAGCCTGCAGGTGCCACCGCTCCCTCAGTACATCGCTCACTCGTCCCCACCTGTGAGAAAATTCCCCCTGGGTTTCTTGCCCCTTGTCACTTTTCTCTCCATTTTTTCTCTCCTTATTCCTTCCAGAGTCAAGAAGAAGAACAAGCCCTTGAACCTCAAGATCCACAACAGCGTGGGGAGCTGTGAGAACATCCCCGCGCAGCGCTCCCCGCTCCTCTCGGAGCGCTCCCTGCGCTCCTTTTTTGTGGGGTACCCGCCTTTCCTCCCCTCCACCCCTCCTGTCCACACTGAAGCCACCTTCTCAGCAAGTAAGTCCAAGTGTCCCTCTCAGGTCCTCGTTCCATGGGGTGGGTGATGGTTGATGCCAAGCAGAGGATGTGACTGTGGGAAACTTGGGCTGTCTGCTGGTGCACTGATGCTCTGGAGGACATCGGTCAGGTGTTGCACAGTGAGCACAGCCCTTGTGCAGGTGCCTTGCGTCAGTGTTTAGAGATATGTGTGTGCTTCTGGCAAAATATAAGACTGGAAACCTGAGTTTGTATGTCTGTAAATATATAAAACCACTGTCATACTGAACATTGATTTATGCGAACAGATATGCTCCTGTATTGCAATAACATGGGTTCAGGAGGGTGACTAGTGACGTTTGGAAAAGCCACGAGCCTTTCCATGCTGCCTGGGCTGGTGATGATGGCTGGCTGTCACTTGAGAGTGACTTTTCCAAGGGCTCCTTTGTAAATCCAGCCGTGTTTATTTCACGCCAGGAGGCTGCTTTTCAGTCCTCTCCTGCTTTCAGGGTTTTGAGCTGATGTGGAGTCATGGGTGAAGCTGGCCCTGATCAGACAGGGCTGGTGCAAACCCATGGAGCCTGAGGAGAGGGGTTTGCCCTCTCCCAGGAGATGCTGGTGGTGGGACTCAGTGGGTGGATTTGGGTCGATGAGCTCATCCAGGGCGTTGCTGCTGGCTGGACAGAAACAGCCTGACCCGTATTTCCCAGTCTCAGACCGGTGCCCCAGTTAATTCTACAAGAATCGAAGCTTTTACAAGCTAGGCGTGGCTCCCAGCCTAAACAAAATCCTCCCAGAAAACCCGTGGCAGCTGCTGGAAGTGATTTGCATGCCAAGAGCTGTTGTGGGGAGGGGGAGCTCCCTTTGCCTCTTGTTGCTCAGCTAGAAACTTCCTCCAACTCCATCTCCAGGCTGTTTTTCTGCCACCTTCCCCTCCTCAGACTTTTCCCTTGTTTGCTTTCCTAAAATGTGGACTTTCTGGCTTGTTTTGGGTTCTTCCAGTCATTCTTTCTGCTTGGCTCTTGGCTGAGGAAGGGGTTTGGCAAGCAACACCTCTCCCTGCCCATCCAGCTCCCTGTCATGGCAGGTTTTCCTCCTCACCGTACTTCTCACCAGGGTGGGAAGCAGCACTGGGATGGCTTCACTGGGTGCCCCGAGCGCTGCTTTGCAGGCGCTGGGTGCTGGTGTGATGGGGCAGTTCCTTTGCCCTGCTCTCATCCCCACAGCCATGCCTCTCCCAGCCATCTGCAAATCAAAAACCTCATTATTTATTTATTTATCCATTTATTTATGCAAGTCATCTGCTATTTAGGATTGTTGAAGGGTCATCGGGCCATTTCTGGCACCCTTTTGCTCCCCTGTCTTTGGCTTTGGGGACAGTGGGACCTGGTAGGAGCTCTGCAGGCAGGCGATGATTGTTCTGGAGATGTCCAACGACCTGACTATCAGTGGCATAGCCAGGAGATTTGCCTGGAGCAAGGGGTAGTTTTGCATTTCTATTTCCCCTGCAGCATCATCTGAGTTCAATGTGCAGCCCAGAATGATGGGGATTAGCAGACCAGAAACTAAGAAACAAAATCCATTCTCAGCAAACCTCAGCTGTGTCTTGTTGCATTAAGGTTCCTCACGGATCAGTGTTGGATTACATCCCGTGGAGTGATAACCTGATGTAATGTGGCATCGCAGGAATGTGATGCAATGAGAAGTGATGGGCTATCAAGTGACTAATGCTGCTGGAAAGGTGTCTCTTCTCATTTCCCTTGGCCCTCCAACTTTCTCAACTGCTGTGAATATTTGTTTTCTGGGCTAGACATGAGCTGTTGAGAGAGTGGCTTGGTTGCACCAGCTGGTTGATCCCTGTTGAGAAGTTTTAGCATCAGCGAAACCATTTGGTCCTTGCAGGATCAGCATCCAGGCCCTCAGCGACCCTCGGTCCTGGGGACCTGTGGGGAAATCTGATGCAAGGTAAAAAAAATCCCTCTAGATGGTAGTTTTTCTAGCTCTCTTGTGTTTCTGCATCATTTCTGTACTGGTGGCCTTGTCCTCAGGCTGCATCCCAGGTTCCTGTCTGCTTCCACGTTTGCTTTCCAGTTTGTGACCCTGTGGGAAGAGCAGCCCCATCCTGTGCATGGCAGCTGGATGCTGAGCACGGCCCTGTGTGGAGAGAGATGGGTTTTAATGGAGCTTGATGCCAGGGTTTGTTACCTTGCAAGGAGAAGATGAGTTATACCAAGAGGAGCAGAAGCGCATTTGTTTGTGGGGAGGAGTAGATATCTCTGCAGTTTCCCCCATGCCTGCTGTTGCTGCTGTGGGGACAGGGCAGCTCGCATCTTGCTGCTGTTCTTGCTGGTCCTATGAAGAGTGCTGGTCATGGTTTGGGGGTCACACCTCTCCCCATCTCCTGGGGTGCCATGTGCTGCTGGATGAGCTCCATGGGGCTCACCAAGGGTGTGAGCTGGTGCATCAAGCTCACCCTGCATCCCAAGGACCACCTGTCCCCATCCCCATCCTTGAGGCACAGATGCAGTTTGGCAGCTGAGTTCTCCACAATATCCCATCCCTATGACCATGGGTACTTAAGCTTTTAAACAGAAAAATGCCTCTTCCGTTTTTCTTTTGTGGGGTCAGCATGGCAGCACCTGGTATGCTCTGGATTGATGTGAAATTACTTTCTTAAGCACTGAAACAAAAAAATGTTATTGTTGTCAGATTGAGATGCAGGAGAGGAGCCCAGCGAGCCCTTGGCAGGACCCCTCTCTCCCCTGCTGTCTCTCAATGATCTCTTTTCAACAGCCAGCGCATCTTGCTGCTTGTGGCAGGAGCATGCTCCCATCTGAATCATCTCTGGTGCTGATCGGATGCTTTTCTCTTATTTTTAACAGCTGATTTGCCCTGATGGGAATGGATTTTCACAGACGTGGAGTGAGAGCGTAAGGGCTGGCAGCCAGCTGCAGAAGGAGCCTCTTTCTCCTGCAGCACAAATCTTGCTGGAGGGATGAAGTCCCCTTCATGCAAGGCCAGGATGCCTGTGAATTTTGGTTTTGAACTGATTTTTCCTTAGTAGCCTTGGAGGGGAAGCAGAGTGGGGAAGTAAAGAATTTTAGGGTGCCCTTGAGCTCTAGCTTGGCCCTGAAATAGCCCAGCTCCATGGCTGAGGGACAGAAGATGGTTTGTCTGGCTCCATCCAGGACTCGCTACTGGTGCATCAGGTCACTCCTGGTGAACAAGTGACCACCAGAGATGTGTTGTTACTTTGAAATAGGATTTAGGACTCAACACCCAGTGACTTGTCTACAAGCACCCAGAAATCAGGTTGCATTTCTTTTTGCTGTAAAGGCTCGTGTCTGGTAGGTCCTGTTTGTGTCTCTGTTATCTGGGTGTCCTGGAGGTGGCTGGCATTGCTCCTAGGCTGTGTGCTCTGCCTGTTCTCTCCCCACTGCAAGGCCAGCCAGGCCACTGTCACCGTGTGCATCCAGATCAGGTCACCTGCTCAGTGGTCTCCAGGATGAGCCAACAACATCGGTTCCATCCTGGACTATTTAAAACAGCAGGAGATGAAAGGGAAGGGCAAAAAAAGGCTGTGTGTGACTTTGCTGTGCTAAGTCAGAAAAATGATCACCTGGGCACATGGCTGTGTGGGGAACATCCTTGCTGCTTCTGTCCAACCCTGCAGAAGGAAAGGAGCAGTCAACGCAATCCGACACAAGACCTTGTGTGTACCAGGAGAGAAAAACCCATTGTCTTGTCCCCAGTGCCTCATAAACTGAAGCTCTGTGAGAGGCTTCTTCATGCAGGGACATTGCTGAACACCTTTGAACAGCACACAGTGGAGAAGCTCTTTCTGTGGCCTGAGAACAAGATAAAAGCCATGAAACATCCCCTGGTATGTGGAGTTATGAGCAGTGACCACTCAAAGCCTTTGTCTTGGCCCTCGAGAGCTGATCATGGCTGTTTTAATGTGCTCTCTAGTGATGCCCACCTCCCCTCTCCTTGGCTCCCAGCTGGGTGCATCAGCCCAGTCCTACACATCAGTTCTGTTTCATCCACAGCTGCCTTTGGTGTTGCTCTGGCCGTGTCCCTGGTGGGTCACTTCTCCTGGATCCTGGTACTGGCTCTGCCTCTTGGCTTTGTGGCCAAGCACATTGCAGTTTATGGCACTGGCTTTCTGCCTTGGGAAGCAAACTGGCTGTGCCTGCATGGGGCTTGGGTGGTCAACCAGTGATGGCCAAGCAAGGGGCAAGTGCTGAGATGCACCAGAGCTCCTTGGACTTCTTCAGCCTCTGATCATCTATGAAAGGGCCCTCAGAAGGGCTGGCATCGGGTAGGTACAAGAGGGGTTCAAGATAATGTCCAGTGGATCGAGCCCTGCTCTGGGAATCCAGGAGCCCTAAATCCAGTCCTTGTGCTGGAAAGAACCAGGCAGTACCCAAGAACTTCATGCTGGTGTTGAAGGTGCCATGGGCCACGTGTACAAGCATCAGTGCCATCTGGACCATGACCCCTCTCTGCAGGCATCCTGTCCCCAGTGCTGGGGGTGGTTCTGTGGGAAGAGACTTAACACTGTCGTGGCCCAAACTACCTTCAGCAGGGGGCTTCCCAAGCGGGACATCGTTTCTGTGTGACCATCAGTGGGTTTCTTCTCCCTGAACCTGCCCTGCTGCCAGTACAAGCCATGGCATGAGCACTCCACGGCTGATAGTGGCTGCCTGGCTGGGAGCTCCCTGCAGGCCACAGCTGGCCACAGCTGGCTGCATTGCCATTGGGCTGCTCCAGCTGGCAGCGAGGCACTGGAGGGTTTCCTACCCCGGCAGTGCTGTGCGGAGCTGAAGAATACAGCTTTGTCTGAGTAAGCCTAATTGACCCTGCAAGGCTGTGAACTGGGGGGAAAAAATCACAATGCAAGTATTTAAGCCAGCGAAGCGCCTGAACATGACATTTCGTCTGTATAAATAGGATTGTCACGCTGCGAAGAGGAACTGCCGGGATTATAAAGTGACTCTGTTTTCTTACTAGCGAGATGCTCTGAGAATAGCTCTGCCTTCTTTGGCTGCTTTGGATGATCCCCTCTGCAAGGGCTGAGATTTCGTTTCAACCCATTGGATCATCTTTCCACCCGCAGCAGGGACACCGCGGGGACATCGCCGGGTCTGGACCTGGCTACAGTTGTGTGCAGAATATTTGCCGTGTGCACTCACAGAGCGGGCAGGGTGACTCCCTTTTTAGCTTGAATCCTGCATGGATCTTAGATCATGTTGGGGCAAAGCTGCTGGTGCTGCTACTCTGAGTGTTGCTACAGCTTCCTTTGCTGCTGCAGCTGAGCTATTTGGGGATTTCTCCCATCCTATTTTGGCCCTAAAACCAGCTAGAGTGAGGACTGAAGTGTCTTGTGGAGGGACTTTGAGCCCTTGGGCGCACTCTTTGCTGTGGAGCAGCTTGCCAGTGTGCTTGGCTCCCCGGCTGGGACCATGCAGACAGTAACCTCTGCCAGCATCCCCCATCACCATTGTGATATAGCCCCCAGGCTGTCATTTCTGCCAGGGGGTGGGGTGGTAGAGATATACCTGACACTGGACCTGTCATAGTTGTCTTCCAGGTGATTGTTGAACTGTTTTGGGAGGAGGCTGCACCCCAGTGTCTCCCGGTAATGTCTCCAGGGGACTCAACCACCTCAGGCCCGGCACTGGGAGTGTTTTGGTGGCTGCCTGGGGTAGATACGGGTCTGTATGATGTCTACAAAAAAGTGCAGTCTCTTGGCCGTTCCTTGGCTTCAGGGTGATTCATCCTGGGATGCTTTCCAAGTTCACTTTGATCGATTTTATCCATCCCATTCATAATGCGAACATCACCTGATGCTGTTTGTTGTAGTAGTAGGAGGAGGGTTTGTTTATTGGGCTGTCGCTGTGATGGATAACATGTTCACACCAATTCCCTGGGCATCCAGAACGGTGCCAAGAGATGAGTAAGGGGGATGTTGTGCTAAAACATGGTCCCCATCGGTGTGGTTCAGCATGGCTGCCAGTCCCAGGTGATGCTCCTGGTGTATTTGGTGAGGGTGTTTGGGTTTGCTGAGGGCATCGTTGCCCTCCTGATCTGCCCTCAGGGAGGGTGAAACCCCAAAATAAATGAAACAGGGATGCTCTGGCTGCTTTTCTCCATGCAGGTTATGCCCAGGCATCCCAGGTAGAGAGTGAAGGGGAAACATCTGCACCAGCAGCCAGAAGGCACCGGGGAGCTGTCGGGATGGCAGCGAGGGTGAGGAGGGCGTCACGGCCCAGGCAGCATCCTGGTCCCCGTCACCTCCGAGGTGCGCGGGTGTCACTCAGGGACCAGCAGTGGCTGTCACAGCTGCCTGTCACCGCTGGGGAGCCGGGCAGCAGGGCTCTTCGCCCGTGTCGGCTGTCAGGGACGCGCCGGAGGCGGCTGTCACCCTCCGCCCAGGCGGTTTCCCCCCTTCCCTGCTCTCCTCACAGCACATCTGATCCCATCAAGCACAGGCTGTTGACTCAAGGATAAGCTGTGCTGCGCGGAGCAGGAGCTGTAACCTTTGCCGGCGTGATGCTACGGTGAAGGAAAGCGCAGAGGTTCTGGGGTGTTCAGGTGGGGGGGTGGCATCCCCTGGCATCAGGTGCCTGGCTGTGGGGTCTATGCCGCTCTGCGAGGACTGATGTGTTGGGTGGCATTGGGAAGTGTCACGACATTGGGGAGCAGGGTTTGGTGATGGGGGAGGCAGGAAAGGGATGGGTGCTCGGCTGGGAAGTCCCCACTGGGCTGCTCAGTGGGTACCAGCTGCATTCTTCCCTGGGAAATTACACCCGTGCCCATTAAATAGCACCTTAGAGGAGGAGAGGGGGGCAAAAAATATCCGAAACCTGCCCTCACACACTTGTGCAAGGGGAATTACGGCTGAGAGCTCTGATCTTCAAGCCATAAAGGCAGTTGCTGGTGATAAACGTATAAGTAATGACTGACACCAGGGCAGGGGAGGTCAGGAGACATCAATCATTGCAGGGCAGGTCATTAGCGCGGGGTCGTTAGAGTGGGACAGTGAGCTGCCAGAAGCAGAAGGGTGGCAGGAGGCGGGCAGCTGGCTGTCATGCTTCAAAGCTCACGAGGGTCAGCTTATCCCACTGCCATGGGAGCAGCTGCAGCACCTTGGGTTGGCACTTCTCCATCACGAGGTCCCTACAACAAAGCCTGGTCCCCCCCTCAAAGGCGAGATGTGCTCCTGTGGCCATGAGTTTTTTGTTTGTTTGTTTGCTTTTCTTGCAATTACCTCTAATTGTGGCAATTTTGGGGTTTTGATGAGAATATTGCTCCAGTGCAGGGAGGGGAGGCTGCTGTATCTCCACCTTCCCTTTGGGTATCACACCGATTTAATATGGCACGGGGAGAAACAGCTTTTCCTCTGAGTGGGCATCTCACATGCACAGGTTAAGGGGGAGAATCACCAATTAACTTCAAAGCCCCCCACACCCTTGGGGCTGTTCCCCACAGCAGTAGGGCACCTTCCCCCGCCCCCCTGACCCCCTTTGCTTGTTTTGGCTCCTGCAAACAGCAGGTCTATTGTTAAGTGCCACAATCCTTCATGTATCGCTTCCTCTAATGAACATAATTAGCCGTGAATCACGTAGGTCTCATTTTTGTTAGGAGGTTAAAATCCCAGATACACTTTAATACATTTTTGCAGTGAGCACATTTAGAAAGTAATTAAAAGGCTCAGCCGTCTTTGCCTATGTCCCCTCTCCCCCTCCCTAGGACGGCAGGATTTAATTGAGGCCAGCTGAAAGTTAGTGGAAATAAATTGTAGCTGATAAAGTGGAGGTTGTAATTTAATTCTGAGAGAGGATCTGTTCTTGACTGGGTGTTTAGTTCATCAGGGACCAGTGTTGAGGGGCACGGGAGGAATTTATTTGTGTAATGTGATTTACTGATGAGAAAATGCCGTTTAGGGAGGGATAGTGCTTGTGTGTGCAGTGGTCCCACTCCTTAGAGCATCGTCTCCAGGGCTTGCAGGCATCCCTGGGAGGCTGCAGATACTGGGTTAGTGGGAGGGATGCTGGTCCAGGAGTCCAGGGTGAGAGGCACAGGTCAAAAATATTGGCATGCTGGTGGTGTAAAACAGCCAACCCGGGGCTGGGGGCAGCAATTACCTTAATTGACTTTGTAGTCCTTCAGCATCTTAATTGCTGGCTGTGCCCGAGGGGTGATTGGGGCTGAGGTGGCAGTAGGAGCTGAGAGAAGAAGCTGGAGCAGCAGCTGGCAGGAGGTACTGGAGATGGATATGTTTTAGGATGCTCCCAAGACTTTTAACAGCGTCTTGCACGGGAAGCAGCATGTAAATGTAACCTTCAGAAAGAGAGCGCAATTAAAACACCCTACCGCCCGCTATATTAAAATGGGATATTAAAGCAAACAGTGGTTCTCCCTGCTCGAAGGGATAATATCGAAAGTGTATTTAGCAAGGGATTTGCCGGCATACTGAGCAAACGGCCGGGCTCGCAGCTGGGCTCTGCTGCTCGGCTCTGCGCTGTGGCTCGGCTCGCGTCGTGCCGGGGCTGCTTGCTTGTGCCCGGGAAACCTCTCAAATCCCTTCTTGAAAATCCAGCCTTTGAACCCCCGGCACTGATCCCCCCTGGGGCTGAGCACCCCGTGGGGCAGGACCTCTCCCATAACCAGGGCAGTGGGCAGGAGGAGGAGGAGGAGGGTCTCTGCCCTTGCTGAGGCTGAAGGGGGATGTGGAGTCCAAGCACGGCTGTGCTGCTAAATACCTGCTCGCTCCAAGCCATTGCTAATGAACTTATCTCTTTTTCCTTACCCAGCCAAGGTCCCGTTACCCTTTCTCCCTCCTTTTCCCTTAGAAGGAGAGCGCCAAGGCTGCTTTTTACCTTGTTCTTCTATTTGAATATGAGTTAAATTGCCTTCTAAGCGGCTGACACTTGGCTTTTTGTTCAGCCACAACCGCAAGATGTGATGTCTTATTAATAAATGATGCAGTTGCCATTTCGGCTTCATTTTTTCTTTCTTGTTTGAGCATCATGATGTGGCTCTGATAGCTTTGCAGTCCTGTTCTGCATACACATGGGTGTAGCACCCATGGGGCAGGTGCATCACCTCCCACCTCTCTCCCTGGCCCAAACTGGGTGGTGGGGCCTGTTAAGTGGAGGCAGGAGACCCTGGTTCCCCACAGATCCAAGCACAAAGCCAGAGGTCTCTTGCTTTCCAGAAAGGGAGCTCAGCAGGGCATCTCTAAAGGGAAATATCAATCAAACCCTACTTTTTGTGTGCACCCTTTGTCCCCCTCCCCAAAAGCTTGAACCCCGGCTCTCGCCTTTTTTACCATCTGATGGTTTCCCCTGTCTCTCCTTTCCACACAGATACGCTGTCAGTGCCTCGCTGGTCCCCGCAGATCCCCCGTCGAGATCTTGGCAACTCGATAAAACACAGGTACGCCAACCCTGCCGCAGCGCTGGGCGAATCCCCCTGATGCTGGGGGATGAGCATCTCCCTTCCCATCTCTTGTCTGGGGCGGGGGGCTCAGGGCTGTTCCCCCTGTTTCCCATGCTGGGCTGCGCTGTCCTAGAAGCCCATTTAAATTCCATTTCAGTTCAGATTTGGTTTAGATAAGGCTTGAGTCGCTATCAATAAAAGCTGTGTATTATCCGTGACCTTGCCAACCTTCAGCAAATTTCCCATCTCCAGATTATTGCCCTTCCATATCTACTCAAGAAGGAAGAGCTCTAGAAATAGTCTCAGTGCTGCTGTTTGATGGGGCAGCTGCTTCTTCGATGGGCTGGAAGCTTGGATCTCCAGGGCAGGGAGATGTTTTGGAAGCTCTGGCCACAGTCTGGTGTGGGCAGAGCTGGGGGGGCTGCAGTGAGACAGTGCCTAATGCCAATTCTGGACAGCTCAGCCCTTCTTTGGAGCAAGCTCTGCCCTTCTGCACCACCAAAAGAGGGCTCAGATGTGTGCTTTGGCATCCCTGGAAAGATGCCTTGACCCCTGCAACAGTGTTTGAGGGCAGCGAGGAAAGAATAAATTGGGGCTCTGTTGATAATCATGGCTTGGGAGATGTTCCTGCAGGAGCACGGATGGGGCGACGCAGCTTCATTGCTCCCTGGCCACTCTCCGTGTTTCTCTCTACAGGTTTTCCACCAAGTACTGGATGTCTCAGACCTGCACCGTCTGCGGGAAAGGAATGTTGTTTGGCTTAAAATGCAAAAACTGCAAGTACGTCATGGTGCTGGAGCTCTTTGTGTTGCTCCTTATTGTTGTGAGTGGGATAATTAGAAGTTTGCTGGTGGAGCTGAGCAAGCGCTTGGGCACGGGGAGACTGACCAGCCTCTTGCTAGCTCTTCTTTGCAAGAAGACTTAATGAGACATGAAATTGGGTGAAGAACATCTCAAAACAGGGCTGAGGATGGGTCTGCATGCTGGGGATGGGAGCAGGGTCCTTGGGGAGGATGCTGCCCACCAGACCTCGGCTCTGCTTGCACCAGAGCTCTGAGTCAGATCCTGACAGCCTCTCCGCTCGCTGCTGTCCTTGGCCTGTCTTTAGATACCCACTGCAGGGTTATGTGCGGAATTAACTGCAGGATACAGTGGGTATGGATGTGGTGGACAGGGGCTGAGAGTGGCTCGGATGAGAGCACTGACTGTGTGCAGGGCAGCTCCAGGCATCGGATGGGTTTTCCCCACAGCCTTGGGCTGTATCCTCTATTTTTTGCATCAGAAAAATATATTGGGGCCTCTGTTTCCTGGCAATGTTGTGGCACCAAGGAGCCAACCCACCCCAAAATGCAGTGAAGGTGTGATGCAAAGGAGAGGAACTGTGCTGGCCGTGAAATTGGGCAGGACTGGAAAAGATAGCAAAGGCACGGGCTGGGGCCACTTATACTGCTTTAAATCCGGTGTAGCCCATTTCTTACTATCGTGCAGCCATCAGCGCTTAGTAAAGCTGCTTCTGGAGACACGATTGCCTTTCCTAGGGATGGGTGCTGGGAATACGCCGGTTGTCGTCTGCGGGTAACTGAATTAGCCAGAGCTATGAAGTGATAACGATCGCTGTTGCCGTTGATTAAATGCTGATGAGTTAGAAAATTGGGATTTAAACCTGCACCAGAAAAGCCTGGTTACTCTGCAGTTGGTGGTGGCTTTCTGGAAGTGATAATATCAAATATATATTTTAAGGTGGTGATTCCTATTTCGTTCGGTGCTCACGTAACTGGAGGCTTTGCTGCCTGCAAGCCCTGCCTGCTGTGCCTGTCCGGGGCTGGTCCCCACGTGGGACCAGGGATGCTGGGACCTGCCCCTGCGATGCTGCGGATCCGGCTCTCTCTCCGTCCTGCTGTCCTGTAGACGCTGAGAAAAGAGCAAATAAATTGCTTGGTTGTGAAAAGTTAGAATGTAGAGTACTTAGAACATAAAGTACTTAGGTTCATCGACTTTGCCATAGCCACCCACTCCCAGCACTGTTTCCCCCAGAAACAGGAGGGGAACAAGTAGGTAAAACAAACAAACAGACCCCAAATCCCCCCCAAGCCTCGAATACTGAATTAATCTCTGCCTTTCCCTCTAGGAACGGCTTTGTAATAAAAGCTAACATGCACGGCTCTTGAATTTTCATTACCCAGCTCATTGACTTGTAGCTGCTGTCTTTTTTTTTTTTTATCCTTTACCCTTGTTTTTTTAAATCCTTTCCTCCTTTTTGCCTTTTCCCCCGTGGCACTCGCTGCTCCGCTGTGGCTGCTGCAGCAGAGCGTGAGTTGGGGACTCGTTTCCATCCCTAATTAAGGACGAAAGGGAAGGTTTCGGGGCGGCAGGAGCCTGCTTATGCCTATATGTATGACCCATGGGTGAAACCCTCCATAGACTTCTGCCCCGGCTCTGCGAAACCAGGCAAAGCTCTGCAGAATATTCAATGTAGCTGTAAATGCTCTCATTATTTTTGTTAAATGTCCTAAATGAAGCTAGGAGGGGAGGGCACAATGGCAGAGATTCATCGGGAGCCAAAGGGGGCTGGGGCAGCTGTTTCCTTCCCTTCTGCTGCCCCTGAATTTAATTAAGTGCAAAGCAGTGTTAGCACTGGATGGTGGTTGGGGGGGAGTGGCTGTTCCCCTAGCACGGGTCTCTGCTCCTTTTATTTCAGCTGAGGCCGACAAGTGACAGTTTTGGGCATCCTCAAGCTGGCTGGTGGGTGCCTGGTCCCTTGCAGCTGGTGGAGAAACGGGGGAGCTGGGCAGCCCTCCCAGGTTTGGGGGTTCCTGCACCCCTCCATCAGGACAGGTGCACCCACCATGGCTCTCATTTGCCACAGGTGTGCAGCTCCTGTGTTCTTCCAGCCAACCCGCCCAGACACTCAGGGTGTTCATCCCATACCGCTTCCTATCCCTGTGCCCACAGCCTGGGGGGCAGCTTGGGAATCGTGGGCCTTCCCGCGTGAGCTGCAGGGCCGCAGGGATCCGGGAGAGTTTGCCCATGGGACCACTCAGGCAGTGAGCACCCAGGGGCTGTGCACAGCTGAAATATTACGTCAAGTTACCTTCCTGGGTGGGGAAAAGGTCCCTGGTCTGCAGTGACGCTCCCTGCTCCGAGCCGCATCCCTCTGGCCGTCCCGTGGTGCTCCGCGTCCCCTTCTCTCTCACTTCTCACGCCTTTTATTCTGTTCCCCACTAGGCTCAAGTGCCACAACAAATGCACCAAAGAGGCCCCTCCATGTCACCTGCTGATCATCCACCGGGGAGGTAAGGGCCTTTCTTCCCCCTTCTGCCTCCATGGATGTTGCCACCAGGTAAAACTTTCAAAAGCCCCCGGGCGATTCGGGAGCCTGACCCTCGCTGACGGCCGGCTGGCGGGATGGAGGCTCCCGAACCGCTTGGGCGCTCTGTGAAAATTTTACCCACCATTTTTTCCGCTTGTAGGGAGACGAGCTGTTCGGGGCGAGGCAGATTTGCATTGCAAACCACTTCCACCCACCCTTCCCCTGCCTCCTTTTCTTTTCAGATTCCCCACCGCACGGGGTAAGTGCAACAGGTTTTAGCCTTTTGCTACTGTCGAGAGCTTAGGGCGGACGCGTGAGACCCCAAATCTCCCGTGGTGCTGTCGGTGCATGGGGGTCCCCACCACAGGGACGTGGCTGTGCCACTGTGGATGCTCGTGGTGCTTTCAGACCTGCCTTATCCCACTCTCCTCCGGGAGAGCCCATTCTAAAATCCACAAACGAGGGAGAACTTTGCAGCAGGACGACGGGCGTGGCTTCCCACCTCTTTTCTTCCAGATTGTGGCCGAGTGCTCACCAACGGCCAGAGGACTGCGACAGCCTAAGGGAAACTCTTCCAATTACCATTGCTTTGAATTTTGAGCTCTTAAGGCCGTTACTCTGTGTTCAATACCACCGAAAACATGTTCATTGGTTTAATAGTGGGGAAATGCATTGTGCTGGTGGCACCTCACAAGGCGAGTGAGGATCTGTGGCTCAAAGGGGCATAATTTTGCAGCCTCCACTCCAGTTCCCCATGCCCTTGCTTGCAGCACATTTGGGTGGAAGACCCCCCTGTCATGCTCCAAGCTGCTGCAAACCCTGACCAGGAGGCAGGGAAAGCATCATCCTGCACTGCCAGGGGCAGGTGAGCTCCTGGGATGGGCAGAAATTCAGATTAACGCCTGCGGTCTGTGATGTTGCAAGAGCTGGAGCTGCCTGTTGTGTGTTTTAGCATGGGAACGAGGGGCAGTGTGGCTGCAGGGTGGCCTCAGCATCAGTGAAAAAAGCTCGGAAATGCCTTGCCCTGCAGCCAGCCCATTTCCAAGTCCCCAGGCTGCAGGCTGGCTTTCCCCCCATAAAATCTCTCCGCCAAGAGCAGGGTGCTCTGAGCAGGCTCCTTCCCTCTGCCCTGAAAAGCTGTGATGAGGAAGAGGATGGTGCCTACTTCTGATGCTGGCTGACCCCCCCAGCTCGTGGGGTGGCTGCAATGGCTGCTGAGCTTCCCTGAATTGCAGCCCCTCGGTGGGGGAAGAAGGGTGCAGTTTGCATCCCACCATGGGGGCTTTAACCTCCTCACATCCCGAGGGGTTTGGCTGTAGCCTGGGTGCAGGGGGGAGCCTGAAGGCTAGCTGCCATCCCAGGGCAGGAGCCGAGCAGCTGGAGATGCCGTGGGGAATTGCTTTGGAGAACGATTCAAGAGCAGTTTGCAAGTGCAGGGTTGACCCCAAGTGTTCCTTCAAAGCTTTGATGTGTCTCCATCTCTCTCCCCCTCCTCTCCATCCCCTTTTCCCCTCTCTCCCTTCTTAATCCAGCAAGGTTAGTCCGGACAGAGTCAGTGCCCTGTGATATCAACAACCCCTTGCGGAAACCCCCCAGGTATTCGGACCTACACGTCAGCCAGACACTCCCCAAAACCAACAAACTCAACAAGGTGAGCTGCTCCACCAGCCCTGAACACCTGCTTCACACCCACCCCCTGCCACAGGGAACCCGGCCCTGTTTCGCTGAAATATCAGCGGCTTTTGCTGGTTCTTCACATGCAGCTGCTGCTCATGCAAACAAGGGGGCCAAAACTGGTGGGATTTTCAAATGCCATTGGAGTTGGGTTGCTTGAGCCACCCTGTTTGCCTCAGCTTTCCTAAGGCACATCCTTTCATGGAGCGTCAATCCCATTTGCTGGGCAGGATCATGGCTTGGAGATTAATTTCTGAAAGAATGGATTTAAGAGCAAAAGGGGCCATGCCCTGACCTTGTGTTTGGGGAAGGAGAAGGCCCCAGTGGGCCAAGGATGGGGCATCTCCCAGCCTCTCAGCCATCTGCCAGGACCAGGCCTTGCAGATGGCTCCATGGGTCCTCAAGCACATCCACAGCTATGGGACTGTTGTATGTGTCAATGCATGGGTAGGAGATGCCTAGAAACCTGCCTGGGGACTTAAATTTTTAAAAATAATCCCATGAACCAGTGCTAATTCGATGAGCAGAGTGAGGGTGAGCTTGGTGTTGAGGCAGGATGGGCTGCGCTGCAAGCAGAGCTGCAAAGCTCTCGCCCCTTGGGTTTCCCAGTGTGTGTTGCATCTGCTGAGGTTATTTCTTTTAAAAATAAAATGGCATCCGCACTTTCAAAATAGCCCGTGTCTCACCAGTCCTGTGCCATTGTGGCCTCTCAGTCTCCAGATCTAAGCTGAATTTGGGGTGTTTTGAGGTCTCTGCTACCACCTGAGACTTTTGTAAATAACAAATCTATTTCTACAAATAAAACAAACCCAGAATTTGATTGTTTCTCTGGCAAATCTGGTCAAGCCAGACCTGTCAGTGCACCTGGCTCACTTCCTTCTGCCCTGCATTAATAGCAATAAAACTGGCATGGGGTTACTTTTTGATGAAATTTAGAGCATGTTGCCTTCAGTGGAAAATTTATTGTGGGTGGCCAGAGGTAGCACAGGGTAAGATGTTTGCAAGCTGGAAGTGCTTGAAGTGAGGGAAATCCTCAGCATGATGGGGAACAGGTCATCAAAACCCTGTCTTCCCACAGCCTGGCAGGACCCCCAGCTCATTCTGGACCTCAGCATCTTCTGGCTCTCCACAAAGGCTGGGTACCAGATGATGCTCTCTTGGATGTAGTTTTTAAACCTAAATCTCTTAGGAGATCCTGCTCTGTTGTTGTTATGGCATGGTGCAAATGGCTTTGTGAGGCTGGAGAGCTACTGCAGGTATTCAAAAGAAATAGAGATGCTTTTTTCTTTCTTCTTTTTCTCTGTCCTTCTAGTGATTTGTTTCATTTTATTAGAGGGCAGTGGGGAACTGACTCAGCTCACTGATAAAGGCTTTGGGTGTGAAGGGCATCAGCTCTTCTGTTTCCTCTTCTGCCTCTGCCAGGCAGTCCTTTCACATTTCCTAGCTTTTCTCTAACCAGAGCATGATGATGCACTGTGTGTGTGTGTGTGTGTGTGTGTGTGTTTATTTATAAATTTGATTTTGACCTCAGCACTCCCATTCTGGTTAAAGTTTCCCCTATAAATGTGCTTTATGCAATAGGGGCCCATTCTTACTTTGATGTTTCTAAAGGCATTTCTTTAGAGATATCCTGTTCTCTGTAAATACCATTGAAATCATACTGTTAGCAGCCTTTATTGTTGGTTTAAAAACCAATTTACCTAGCTAAGATTGTCATATGTGTCAGGATATGGTCTATATGGTCTATATAAAATGTATGTGGGTTTCCTAAAAAGCCCAGCTTATTTAAAAATCAATAAATTTTGACAAAAATTACCTGCTGTGGGAGGCTCATGCAGGTTTTCTAACCTTGGAGGGATCTTGCCATGGGTGCACCTGTCTGGAGATGGGAGTGCTCAGGGCTGCTGAAGGTCAGACCCTGTTAAGTGTCTCCAAGTTGGGCGACAAGGTCACAAGCAAGGTGGGGAATTCTGGCCTCAGTTTTCCTTTTCAGATCTAAGATATCCAGGCAGGTGGTTCTCCCTGTTTGCTCCCAGATGGTCCTTTCTCATCCATCTCAGTGTGCCCTGGAGAGGCACACCCAAAGCTGCTGTCCTTGTCTTGATTAGGAAGGGTCAGCAAAGGGCAAGGGATGTCTTGGGGTGTGTTGGCTGATCCTTTCAAATCTGCCTCAGCTCAGCCCCCTGCTCCGAGCGAGGCAGGAGGTTTTTGGCTCACAGGAGGTCAACAGAAGCTTGATGTCTCTAAGGACCGAGCCCCAGGGGTGCAGCCCCCAACTCTGGTCTTGGTGGCTACAGCTCTGCAGAGCTAGCAGGGTTTGGGGAGCTCTCAGCCTTGGTTTTGTAGCATGGAGGGGCTGGCAGAGGAGCCCCATGTCTGACATGAAATGCCCTTGGTGCACACAGTGAATACAAACGGCTTTGGAAAAGCTGAAGCTGGGTCTCTGGTTGTTTTCCAGGACTTCTGGAAATGGGGTACGGGGATGACCTGTGTAGCTCTCGCTTGTCACCTGGGCTCCTCTGCACTGGAGCACCTTGGGGTGGCACTGCTGGCACGGCTCTCACCAGCTCCTCTCTTCTTTTCTCCATGTCCTGCAGGACCACATCCCAGTGCCCTACCAGCCAGACTCCAGCAGCAACCCCTCCTCCACCACCTCCTCCACACCCTCCTCGCCGGCCCCACCGCTGCCGCCCAGCGCAACGCCCCCGTCCCCCCTGCATCCCTCCCCGCAGTGCCCACGCCAGCAGAAGCAATTCAACTTGCCAGGTACCGTGAGCTCCCCACCTCCCCATCTGCCTGATGTGAGGGGCTTGTGCCCCGAGGTGTCCTTGGAGTAAGGATCTGCTCCAGCTGCTTGCTTGCCTGGACTTATGCTGGAATGGGGAGAAGTTGGAAGCAGGTAGGAGCAGCAAAGATGAGTTTAGGATAATTCAGGTTGGGACAGAGCTTGGGAGTCTCTAGTCAAATCTCCTGCTTGAAGAAGGGTCAGAGCTCAAGACTTGATGCAGTTTGGTCTTCAAAACCTCCAAGGATGGAGCCAGCACGGCCTCTGTGGGCAACCTGCTGTGCTTGAGGCTTCAGAAACCTTTCTAGCCATGACTTCTCCATGGCATGTGCCCGCTGCATTGCCTCAGCAGCAAACGGGAAACAAGGTCTTACCCCTCTACAAGGGTAACTTGGGTTGACTTCACTGTGTCTTTGAGGTCCAACAAGCTTGCTGTTAGCACATGTGGAGTGATAGAGGGAAGTAGTTGATGCTGGGGCTATCTGATGTACCTTGTCCCATCAAGTCTTGTCTGGGTACCTCGACTCATCTGCTCCTGGAGCTCAGTCTCTTCAGGGATGGTGGAAGAGTCAATTTGGTTACCTTGGCTTCAGGACACAGGAGTACATTAAATGGCCAGAAAAACTCCTCCTGGCCTGAGGATGTACCAAAGCCTGTCCCAGCACGTCTGCCTTTGGGATGTCATTGGAGCAGGGCTGCAGCTCCAGGGAAGGTCCCTCCCTGGAGGGAAATGGCTCAGCATCACTCCTGGCAGCATGGAAGGACTCAGCTGTTCTCTGCTACCCAGATGCCTCTCCAACCATTCCCAAAAAGGGCCCGACAAGGGAAGAGGAGGGGGAGCCATGGCCCTGACCCATCTCTGAGATGCTGAAACACTCACAGCTGCCCTGGGGCCAGTGACTCTTGTTTAGTCTGTGGTCTCAGGCCTGTTTGACAGGGCAGCAGCCAGGAGTTTGGAGTCCCTTCTGTATTCCAAAACCGTATGGCTATTGAACTGGTCTGGTAGGAAGGAAGGTCAGGACTGCTTCTCTGGAGGAACCAGATAGCACCTTCATGATCTGCTGATCCTGCTGCACCATGGTGATTCCTTCTTTCAATCTTGACAGGCCCTCAGCTAGAGAGGAGGAGGAGGAGAAGGAGGGAGGTGAGGGGGGATTTGACTGGCAGGATCCATCACCAGAATAACAAGCATTTCCAAAAGCTGGGGAGAAAAATCCAAACCACCAGCCAAACAACACAGGTCCTTGTGAGCCTGGAGAGACTACAGCTGTACACAAGTCTTGTTCACTGGAGCGCCCAGAGCCCAGGTGGGATGCTGGAGAGGCATGAAGAAGACAGCAGAGGATCTGTGAGGAAGCACTGAGCACCCCAAGGAGCAGTGTGACCCATCCGTCAAGGAGAGACTCGACTCCTTCTCCATTCCCTGGGTGAGGATTTCGCCAGCCACAGCCCTCAAGCCTCCAAGGGCTGGGATGATAGTCCTCAGCATGGCTGCAAACCCGAGAGCACGGCGTGCGTTTCCATGCTGGTATAACTGAGTTTGTGGTGGTCCAGCCACAACCAAAGCATCCTGACATCTCAGCAGCATGATAGCCAGGCTTGCAGCCATTAACATCCCCAAACTGCTTGCTGGGCAAACTCTGGACCCTGCCTGGGTTTGGGGGAGAAGGAACAGAGGGTCCAGTGTCTGGTGACCCGGTCATGCATCACTTCTGGAGCAGAGACCTCCCTGCAGGGCTTTTGAGATGTTCTTTCATGTTGTTTAAAACAGAAACCACAGAAGTAACCCCCACAGTGAGCAGCAGCATCTTCTTATGGGGACCTGGACGTGCTGTCACTGCCACCACAGCTGAGCCAGTGCAGGGAGCCCCTGCCACGGGTGCCTGGCTGGCTGGGGTGGGCAGGATCAGACCCCAGCAGCTCAGGGGGGTGGTTGCTCCCTGCTTTCATGCCTGTGATGAGCAGAGCCCTGTGGTGAACAGGAGCTGGTCTGACACAAAGCAGGACTTACTGTGCTTTCATCTTCCTGTGCAGGAAGTTCTCCATGGTTCATCTCATCAAGATGGTCATCTTGGGGATTAGGATTTAAGCTTGGAAATTGCAACACTGTGACCTTTTTCTGACAGAATTACCTTTGAGTCTCCTTTGATCTCAGCTCAGGGTGGCTCAGGTCCCGCTGCAGAGCTGAGGTCAGTCTTCAGGGTCTTGAAGCTGGAGAGAAGCTGAGAGATGGTCTTTGGGGTCTTGAAGCTTAAGGAGAAGTTGCCAACCTCTGGTGGCCTCAGCATCTCTGTCTTGCTTCGTACCCATGACCTACCTGCCCGTGTGTGTCAAATCAGCCCTTGGGCTTTGCCCACAGGCGATGGGGAGCTGATGGAGGGTACCAGCACCTAGAGCACCTCTGCAGTGCTGGCTTTGGGCAGTGGCTCCTGGGACTGCTGACAGCTCCTGGCTCCTTTCAGTACACTGGGAGGCAGGCAGGGAGCCCAGGAAGGACACATCTCCGAAGCATGGCAAAAATGCACAGTTAGATGGGCTAGATCGGGCAAAAATGGGGAGCAGCTGCAAATCTATCACTTGGTGTCTCCACAGTGCTGAGTGGTTCCTGAGGGCTGACTGGGAGCTGAGCACTCAAACCCTGTGAGCTTTTGCTGTCAACCAGGTGTCCAAATCTCACCAGTGACTTTGCAACACCCTTTAAGTGGTATCGAGCAGTAGCTGATGGTGGCAAAAATGAAGTTAAAATCCAGCCAGATCATTAGAGGTGTAAGGTCTTAGTTTTTAGGCCTGGGCACCCTACATGCCATTGTGGGTAAGAGATGGAGGTGGGAGGGGTTGTGTCGTGCAGAGGGGGACCTGGACCCAGGGCTGTCATTGCATGAGTCTCTCCAGCATCTGGCTCTGCAGTTTGGTGTTTAACCCCACATTTCTCTCTTCCAGCTTCCCATTACTACAAGTACAAGCAGCAGTTCATTTTCCCAGGTAAGTCTCTTTGAAAGTTTCTCCTGTAACGTGGGATGCTGAGATATAGTGGGGTGGGTGCATGCCCAGCTCTCCTAAGCCCTGGATTTGTGCAGAGGGGTTCTGCTGGAGTGGGATTTCTCCCCCAAACCAGTGCATTGTTGCAGGACCTTTCACTAGTAAGATGCTGCAGGGCTGGGAGGTTTTTAGTGGGATTTACTTCCCCTGGGTGCCCTCGGCACTGGAAGGAGCTCCTGATACTCCCAGACTGCTCTCACTCCGCTCTCTTCTCTCCAGATGTGGTGCCTGAGACACCGACCCGAGCCCCGCAGGTCGTCCTCCACCCTGTCAACTCCAACCCCATGTGAGTGCCTCCCCCTCCTCCCAGCTGCCTTCACCTTGCCTTCCCCAGGCAGTGCATCCTCTGCACCCTGCCTCCTCTGGGCACCCATGTGTGCTTCCCTGGCTTTGCAGGACCAATTTGGGGCTCAAGGATGTCTTTTGGGCCAGCTGAGGTGGATGGTCAAGATGAGCCCCTGGTGCTCCTGCTGCCCCGACCCAGCTGATGACTCTGGTTTGTGCGTTGCGGAGGAGAAAAACTGAAAGGACAGGGCAGGGGATTGATTTATAACCCACAGCAATGCACCTACCCAGTGCTTTGCTGTCAAAAAAAAAAAAAAAAAAAAAAAAAGACTTTCAGTCTTAGAAGCCAAAGCCAAAGCGATTAATCTTTTACTAAATTATAAGCAGAGAACCAGAGTCTTTGAGATTATTTCAATAAAGACAGTTTTTGCAGTCTCACCTGTAATATTTTCAAGTCCAATAAACTTTGCACTGAAATTAGTTCTGAAATGCAGTTATCTAATTGGCGTTAGGACCAGCTCTCCCTGGCAGATTGAGCCTGAGCTGCTCTGCCGAATCTGGCATTTGCTGAGGTCCTCCTGCCTGTGCCACCCTGGCAGTGGCATTACATTTCAGGGTTGCTTGCTGATCCCTTTTATAAATGCCATTTTTGAAGCCGGGAGTTTAACAGATAGGGTCTTGCTCCAGGCTGCAGTGAGGTTGTGTCCGGCTCACCCACGCTCTCCAAACCACATTGGCAACTGCCGGGGGGTCCGGCAGATCTTGTGTCTGGGGAAGGCGATGAGGGGGATGGGGACGGAGCGGCTGTCCCTGCTGGTGGCTGACAGCCAGGAAATTAATGGAAAAGTAGTGAAGTCAAAGCCTTTTATATTTTTTTTCCTTCCTTGCCTAAAGCAATGTATCAGGCGTAAGGCTGGCAGGCTTCTGTGGGCAAATAGCTTTCAATATGCAAAACCTGTGATTCTTCTCTTGCTCGCCCCACTGAAAATAACTCGTGGGAGCCGCTGAGGTTACCCTGGCCTTGGCTGGGTTAAATAGCAGACGCTGCTTTGGATACTCAGGAGACAGGTATTCGTGCCTGGGCTAAAGATCAGGCAGGAGGAGACTGCTGCTCCTGCAAACCACCCGTGCATCGTGATGGGCGGCAGATGCCGTCTGCATCTACCTGGGCTTTCTCTGGTACTTCAGATGTCAGGGTCGGCTCCTTTTGTATATCCACCTGGGTCTCCCTTGGGATTTATAGCTTTTTAGCGGCAACTAAATGGCATAGGAAGCACAGGACCACTGCGTCTGAGTGGCTTGGGGGGTGTTATGCCTCTCCTGTGATCCTTGCTGTCTCTGGAAGGGGATGCTGTTATTTATATTATCGATAATAATAGTTTATAATATATTTATATTATGCTTGAAACCACCCGAGCTGCCCCAGCTGATCTTCCCCACAGAATTTCCCCAATTCCCTGTTAACTCTTGGGTGCAGTGAGACCTGCGTCGTGGACCTGGTGGTGGGAGGTGCTGTGTAAGCAAAAGAAAAGAGATGGTCCTGGCCCAGAGAGCTTGGAAACTAGACAAATTTAGGTGCTCTTGCTGCAGGGAGGGTCTTTGAAACCTTCAGTTCTCAAAAATATTCGAAAAACCTGTTTTCTTCTCTTCTGGCTGCTAATCAACTGTGCTTGTCACTTTGGTGTTTGTTGGGAAGGTAATTCTGATCTTAGAAACCACCTAAAAATGCCATAAGCGCATGCCCCAGCACTGCCTCAATGTGGCCAAAAGGTGTGAGGTTGTAAACATGCCCCTTGCCCCAGTTAGCTGGGGGGATGCCTTCTGGCGCACGTGGCAAAGGTGCGTCCTCCACACCATGTGCTTTGGGCGACGGGATGGAGACTTGGTCGTGTGCTCCCCCATCACCAAATCCGTTGTGGAACTTCATGCATCCAGTATTAATAAATGCAGTAATTAATATTGCTCATCCCCACTATCCTCCTGTGTGAGCACCCAGGGCCGTTCCTTGGGATGGAGACAGCCAGGGTGTGGGTGGGAAGGGGTTGCTCTCCCAGATTAACAGCAAGCTTTGTACTTCTCCTCCCTGATCCCTTCAGTCCCGGTGCAGTGCAGTGCTGTGGGAAGCAGGACTTGATGCCTGTGCATGACCCCCACCTAACTGTGTTTTACCTGGCAGTAATTCAGTAATTCTTTTAACAGCCTGGAAGGAAACCCATTGCTTCAAATTGAAGTGGAGCCCACCTCGGAGGTGAGATGGCTGGGCTCGCTGCTGTGCTTAACGGGCCTTTATTTTATATATATCTTGGGGCACATTTCACAGGAACCAGATAAGTTTAGCATCTGTGCAGTGAAATTGCTGATAATTAAATTAACGGCCAGGCCTGAACTTGCCCAGGCATCTGTGTCCCCACTCCATGAAGAGGGACCCTCATGGGCTTCATGTCTGCCCTCAAGTTTACAATTTAATGAGCTTTTCTGAGAAGCATTAAAAATGTGGTGGAGGGGAAGGGGTGAAGGGTGAGGCCGGGGATACAGCTTTTAATGGGCATTGTAAATCCTGTAGAAAGCTGATGCAGACCATGGAGGGAAAAAACAGACCTATTTGAGGGGCTGGGCACACAGCTGGGGGTGCCAGGGCAGGAGCAGTCGGTATTAGCAGAGCACAGCTTGGACAGCGTAGGATGAAATGCTGCTTTTGAACAAATGAATTAAATGTTCCAGTGTGTCACACTCTTATATTTAGCCCTGGGATAAATAAATGCCTCCCTGCAAAATCTGGGTTTCTGCTGGCTTTGCAGAAAATGCAGCCACGAGTTGCCTTTCGAAGGTACCTGCCCAACCGGGTCTGAGCAAGCTGTAGGTGGGCTAGTGGGGTTTTGTCCATGTTATCTTCTTTGACTATCATTTTTTCCCATTTTATTGCACTCATCTCCCTTTGCCCCACCCCACAGAACGAGGAAGGCACCGAGGAGGTGCAGGAGTCCGAGGATGACTTTGAAGAGATGAACCTCTCGCTCCTCTCTGCACGCAACTTTCCCCGCAAGGCCAGCCAGACCAGCATCTTCCTCCAGGAGTGGGACATCCCCTTTGAGCAGCTTGAGATTGGCGAGCTCATTGGCAAGGGCCGCTTCGGGCAAGTCTTTCATGGGCGCTGGCATGGGGAGGTGGCCATCCGCCTCATTGACATTGAACGGGACAACGAGGACCAGCTGAAGGCCTTCAAGAGGGAGGTGATGGCGTACCGGCAGACCCGGCACGAGAATGTGGTGCTCTTCATGGGAGCCTGCATGAGTCCTCCCCACCTCGCCATCATCACCAGGTAAGCTCCTACATCTTGTGCTCAGCTAGAATAACTTTTTCTTTCCAAAACAGCTTCCTGCAGTCAAACATTACCAGTAGGCAAGGCTGGCCAGGCCTCCCTGCCCTATCAAAGGGATGTTCTCCATCTATTGTGATTTATGCTGCAAAGCAGATAGCAAACCCATCATAAGTGGGTCCAGGCAGATTCTTAACCAAGGACAGGAATGATTTATTTTAACCAGGAGGGGTGTAACCTGGTGGGAGCAGCAGTTTCTGTCCTGGGATTTTTTGAACGGTCAGATCCCTGGATGAGTGGTGGGGTCTGGACCCTGCTTGAGTGCTGCCACAGCATGGAAAAGCCTCTGATTGCATGAAGCAGTTGGTCATATGCAAACACCAGGTTTCATGAATAAGTCAGTGCTGGGAAAACAGCTCGGGTGTCTGAAGGCTCAACAGGGTGCAAGTGTTAGGTTCAGTGGTCTGTGAAATGGCCAGAAGGGCAGCAGAGGTGGGAAAACCGGGTGCTCGCAAGGACGGCTGGTACTCCACAGGTCTGGAGCCCGTCCACGGAGTCTCCTTGCTTTCGGCGAGGTGGGAGACTTTGCAAGATAAGTCATGGTCTCCTGGAGCATTTCTTCCCATTCTCAAAGCTGTTGTCTCTGTTACACCCAAAACTGGGTATGGGACTAATAGGAGTGAGTTTGGGGTGGGGCCAGGAGAAGGAGACTGGGGCTTGAAGAGCTGCTGTCTGGGAGAATGGTGATGCTTGGGGACACTGCAGCAGGATGAAGGGATGAGACTGCTGAAGGGGGCTTCTTGCAGCTGGTTGGGGAGCAAGGTGGGATTTGGGGTCTCCCAAGCCATCTCAAACACCTCCAGAGCTGTCTTAGTCTCAAGGAATTCCCATGTACCTGCTGTCAATCAGCAATACCAAGCATCCCTGCTGAAGCAGCACTGAGCATCCTGGCATATTCCTTGCATGGGTGGGCAAAACCAAAATCCCTGCTGGCCTCGAGGCAGGGAGGCTGCAGTCACTCCCAGAGCAGCTGTTGTCATGTAAAATGCATTTTTTTCTGAGTGTTCATTATTTCCCTCACCTCTAGACCATGTATTCAGCCACAGGGCTTGATGTGGTACCACATTGCATCCCACCACTGGTTACTTTCTCTCAGGGAAGTTTACCCAAGGTGAGGTTGAATTTCCAGCCTCCTCCTGGCAGTGTTTCAGAAAGCCTGCACTGAAATGGCAATGCTTCCGACAGCCATTAGCCATGAAATATTGCATCATTTTTTCCTAATGTCCTCTTGAAAGCAGCACCTCCTGGACCACCGGTCCCTGCTGGGGCAGCTCTGCGGGTGCCAGGGTGGGGGCTTTGGTCTGCTTTCCCTCTTACTCAACAACAAAGGATTTCAACCCAGATTTGTGGCTCCACATGCCATCGTTTGCTCCCTGCTCTGGTGGGTTCAGGGACTGCATTTGTCTTGGGAGTTGCGTGCTCTAGAGATGTGACTCCAAACGGGGGCTGGCTCTCCCCAGCTGGGGACTGGAAAAAATGTCCTTTTTATTTTGGACCAAAAAATACTAATCTCAGAAAATTCAGCAGCATTTCAGATTCCCATCTATTAGCTAGTTCAGGCCAAAGGCTTTTTGAAAAGTGTGCAAACGCATGTATTGATCAATGCGTCAGAGACCCCATCCATGTGTTACACCAGATTGACGCCGCTACCCAGAGCAAAACGCAGCTTCTCCGTCCCGCTCAGCTCTGTGATCCCTTTACAGCCCCAATTTGCTCAGCTTTTCAATCCTATTCAATATCAGAACCTGGGCAATATATTCTTTTTGTTTAGCTACAAAGTGTTTTCTATTCTAATGCCTCTTTATATAAAACCATAAAGGTGCCATTTTTGACAGTTTGACAAAATAAATATGTTCACTGCAGTAGCTTGATGCATTAATATGAGGTCTGTGAAGCGCACTGCTCGCTTGCTTTTCTTTTCAGCTGCACTCGGTCCTTTTTTTAAGGTCAAAGTACAGCTTTATTGGATTGCCCTAAATATAACCTGTGCTTGCAGTGTCTCCAAGCATTGCCTGCTCTTTGCCTACAAGCAGCAACCTGCTTTTATCTGTATTCTTCGAAGGCTGAATCAACATCACAATAGTTTTTTTTTCCACTGCAACTAGAAACCTGTTTGGTTTTCTCCTGCTGGGATTTCTGGGGTGAAATCGGCTCATATCCAGTGCTGGTGCTGGGCTGGCCACGAGAATGCAGGAAAGCCAAGGGGGATGCTGGAAGGGGGCTCAGCTCAGTCTCAGGGAATTTTTGGGAAGCCCAGGACTGCAAGAGTGCGTATCCCTTAGCTTGGAGGTCATTTCCACAGATGATTTATTGCACTTTGAGGCTTCCTGTGGGGCTCTCTTCTGGCACTTCCCCAGGAGGGACCTCTGGGGCTTGTGGGGCAAAGCATCCCTTGCATTTCCCAGGGTGGCAGTGCAGGGATGCTCCCTTCCCTTGTGCCTGCAGTCCTTGTCTGGTCTATCTTTGGTTGAACATTTTTGGGGGCTTCTTGGAACAGCTCTGCTCATCTCCGCTGGGGAAAAGCCTTCTCACTATGTGGAGGTCTCCATCCCATGCATGTTTCCTTGTCTGGCAGTGCTTCTTGGAATAGACAGGTCTTTCCAAAGGGGTACAACAGCCCTGGGAACTCTTCTGCCACGGCACAGATGGGAACTGCTGCTTGGGCATTCGAGGGAATGAGTCTGAGAAGAGGACAGTGTGGTGTTAGCTGGACTGGGAATAGCTGGAGATACTGGGAACGGTCCAGGATGTGACACTGGGGGAGGATGGAAGCCGGTGACCCCATACAGCGGAGAGCATCGCTCTTCAGACAGGATTTTTTGAGGGGACTCAAGTTCTTTAAACTTTAAACCAGACTTTGAGAACTTTAAACCAGAATTTGCTTGTAGAGGGGGAAAATCACTCCCAGCTGTCTGATGGGGCTAATTACAGATACAAATCCAGGATGTCCAAATTTCCTCACCTGCTCCTCCTCACACACATTCCTGGATCCGAACGGGTGATATGCAGAAGAGGTTCTTTTTCTTCTGACTGCCCAGAGGTGGTCGCTCAAGGATGTTTTTTCCACCAAGAAAAGAGCAATTTCTTGCAGCTGTTAAAGAAATCTCCATTTTCCTGCTGCCACGCTGGAAGCAGCTGCCCATCCCTGGAAGGGGCTTTACCACATCGTGCTGCCCGGTGCTGCTGGAGGAGGGTTATTTATAGATGGGTTTATTTTTACTTTTTCACATCCCTACATTTTCCTTCCTGATTACTTGTGATATTCAAGGATTGTCTCATTAGCAGAAAGAAATCTCTCCCTCCAAACACCGTGTCCCATGGCCAAATGCTGGGAGGGGAAACTGAGGCAGCATCTTGCTAACAGCGTGATGTTTTGGGTTAACGCTCTGATTTTCTCTGCATTAACCATTGGTCTGTCCAGATGATTGGGACCTATAGTGCTTAATATCTCATCAGAGACATTGATGGTGGGATCCAGTGCACCCTCAGCACATTTGCAGATGACACCAAGTTGAGTGGTGGGATTGACACTCCTGAGGGAAGGGATGACATCTAGGGGGACCAGACAAGCTTGGGAAGTGGGTCCATGTGAACTTCATGAGGTTCAACAAAGCCAAGTGCAAGGTCCCGCACCTGGGTCGGGGCAACCTTTGGCATCAATGCAGGCTGAGGGGATGAAGGGATAGAGAGCAGCCCTGTGGAGAAGGACCTGAGGGTATTGATGGATGAAAAGCTGGACAGGAGCCAGTAATGTGTACCTACAGCCTAAGAAGCCAGCTGTACCCTGGGCTGCATCAAGACAAGCGTGGCCAGCAGGTCAAGGGAGGGGATTCTTCCCCTCTGCTCTGGTGAGATCCCACCTGCAGTGCCGTGTCCAGCTCTGGAGTTCATACAGGAAAGATGTCGACCTGTTGGAGAGGGTCAAGAGGAGGCCACAGAAGTGATCAGAGGGATGGAACGCCTCTCCTGTGAGGACAGGCTGAGAGAGTTGGGGTCGTTCGGCCTGGAGAAGAGAAGGCTCCAGGGAGATCTTATTGTGGCCTTTCAGTACTTAAGGGGGGCTCATAAGAAAGATGGGGACAGACATTTTAGTATGGGCTTTAGGAATAGGACAAGGGGTAATGGTTTTAAACTAAAAGAGAGTAGATTCAGACTAGATATAAGGAAGAAATTTTTTATTATGAGGGTGGCAAAACACAGGAACAGTTTTCCCAGAGTGGTGGTAGATGCCCCATCCCTGGAAACATTCAAGGCCAAGTTGAGCAACCTGGTTTAGTTGAAGATGTCCCTGCTCATGGCAAAGGGGTTGGACTAGATGACCTTTAAAGGTCCCTTCCAACCCAAACCATTCTGTAAGTCTATGATTCTTGAGTAGTCTCTTAATGTGACTGTCTGGGTCAGAAAGGAAAGGAAGAAATTCAGCAATTTTGGCAATGGGAGGTGGTGACTCCAAAGACTGCTTCCATCAGAGCCGCTAATAGATTTTCTCTTGGGTAATGAGCAGTGGGGACAGTTAACATTCATCTTAATTAGTCTTGAGCGAGAGTGAATGTGAGCCTTGGTGCTTTGAGCGCTGCATAATGGATAGCATGAAACAGCATCAAAGTCCTCGGCCCAGTGGAAATGAAAGGACTGAAAAAGTGCCGTGTTTTCTGCATACAGGCAAATGACAAGTTGTTTTTGCCAGTGATGAATGAGACAAAGCCAGGCCTGGGTAAGCTCACGTCAGCTCCTCAGGGCTCCTGGTCCCAGCCCCCGTTGGTGGCAGCACGAGGAGGGGAGGTAAAGCCTCAGCCACCCAGGAGGTCCTTCAAAGGACAAAGTCTAACGGTTTTTTAATGCTATTAAAATGGCTTGAGCCACCCACGAAGGTAATGGATTGCAGAAAGTACCAGGTTTTAGGATTCTGGGTGTTCCTTCTGGGAAAAAGAAAAAAAAAAAAA